AGAAGAACACACTAACCTGCTCTGTGTAACCTGAGCTGAGGGTTGTAAACAGCGTCCAGTAGTTTCCGTTGTCGCTCGTTCTCCTCTTTTGAGCGACAAAGTTGCTCCTCGTACTCTGCTATCGTTCTTTCAAACAGCCCAAATATCTCTTCAGCAGCCGCAGTTAGTCGCTGCTTCACCAACGCTCTCAGCATTTGGACTTTACACATCTTCACACTTTAAAAACACAACAAAGACACTCTGCTAACAGACGTTTCTGCTCGACGCCATCTTCTTCAAACACTGTCAAGTTAGCCACAGAAAAGAATAGAGCTTCCGGGGCAGCTCAGCTGCTCTCCTTCAAAATAAAAGTCCAGATTGCAGGTTTAACCAGAGAAACACGCAGGAAGTAAGGGAATTAAATGTTTGTAAATGTAATTTTTAAATGTATGTATCAAACATGATAATGAAGGTTTTTAATTTTACTTTTGAAATCATCATTGTTTTGTATTCCATAATGTTTTTAATGTAATACACTCTTTAGATTATTTAATTAGGGACTGTTCTTTATTAATCAGAGGAGGGGTCATTTTTTTTCAGTGAAAAGTTCAAAGTTGAAAAAAGTGTCAGTTTCTTATACTTGTCGTTCAAACAGTTTGTTTTCCCGCCAAACTTTAAATGAGACCTACAATAAAGTGATTTATATAAATGTCACTATTTTAACATCAGATTTGGTTATGCTATTTTTTTTTAATGAAGCTTTGTTTGTATATGATGTGTCCAGGGTCCATCGGAAATTGAGATCAAATGCCAATTTCTGTTTTTAAAGTTTCTGTCTGTGATCAATGGAGTTATTTTTCACGTTTTTCAAGTAAAAAAACAAAACAAAACAAAAACCCCCATTTTCTGTAAACATGTTTTCCTAAAAAAAAAAAAAAAAAAGAAACAAAAAAAAACTTTATTAGCTAACGTGACAAAGCAACCAATGGCAGATCCATGTTAGTTAGCTGGCTAGCTGGTTAGCTGGCCTCATTGGCCACACAACCAGCAGCAGTGATGTTGCCAGGTCCTGTGTCTACAGTAAACTCACCTTCGATGTGTCCCGAGGACTCACCTTATTGTTTTACACAATAATTCTATGCTGAAAACATGGATGTCACAAGACTTTTGTCACAGATGATGTTTTGACGTCACGCCATGTTTTTGCGCCCTATGATGCTACACTGTGATCATGTGATTGTGCCACCATTTACTCATATTGCTGATAACCTGATCATGTCTTACTGTCCAGGGGATTCCCCATGCTGAAAAACTATATTCAAAAGCAGAAGTCATTTTCTTACCATAAATATAAATGTCGTGCAAGACAAAATCATGTTTTATTCATTGTTTTAATCAGTGAAAAAAAAAAACAGAAAAACTAACAGAAAATAGAAAATAGAATCGGCATATTTATCTCTTCTACAAAAAAAAAAAAAAAAAAAAAAAGAACTTGTATGAAATAAGACAATCATGTATCACCTTTAATTGACTTGAAACTGGGCTGGTGATTTTAGCAGGTGACATTTATCAGCTATAAAAAGAGACGTTTACAGTCTTGGTTTTGTAAATGAAGTTTTCAGATTTGGGATTTTATTTGTTTAATTTTCAGATACATTTTCAACACACATGAACTTGAACAAAATCAGATCCATACAAAAATCAAACAAGTTTAACATTACAATTTGTAAAAAAAAAAAAAAAAAAAGAAAAAAAAAAGATATTGGCAACTCATTTAGACAACGTCCTGTTGGTCCTGTGGACATTGAAAACCCAACAACACTGCTGTAGCTAAACTACGCTAAGTTGATCTGGCATTGGTTGCTTTGTAAAGTTGATAAAGTCATTTTCAAGCCAGAAAGAATGAACGTCTGGATGAATTTAGATGACATTAATTACTTGGAAGAATTCTGCTACGTTAGCTAGCAAGTAGTTTATCCATGTTAGCTAACATGTTAACGTTAGAGAACATTAGCCAGCTAAAACCATACTATCATAGCGTATTTCAAATGTCAAGGGGCTGTGTAGTGTTTGACAACGTTTGGCTGATTCAACCAAGCTGTTCTGTCTGAAGATGTGGCGACTTCAACCAACCATGAGTAAGAAAAAGTAAGCTATGAGTAGAGGAAAACCCTGCTAGCCGCTAGGCTAATTTACAGTGGCATGCAAAAGTTTGAGCACCCCAAGACATTTGAGCTCTACGACAACTTTTACCAAGGTAGTGGTTCAGATTAAGGTCAAAACACGTTCTCACCAGAAACAACCGCACCAGAGTTCGTTTGTAATTGGACCAAGCCCACCTCTTCACCTCTTGTTTTGGTGCACACCTGAGTGCAATTGTTGTTTTCAAATGATCCGCACCGAGGGGGCAAACCAACGTGAGTTTGACCTGACCAAACCAAACAGGGCATGTGTGAAAGCATCCTTTGCTGGATATAAAAAGTGTTTTGAAGCTTTGATACTTGCCAAGGGGGGTGCTACTGAGTCCTGACCATGCAGGGTGATCAAACTTTTGATTCACGCCCTTTTCATTCTTTGCATCATGGTCCAAAGAATCAGTATACACTGCTCTAAGAAATGAAGGGAACACTTAATGGTCACAGTCAGTTAAACTTCAGGAATATCAATCAAGTGACTGTGAATCTGTTTCAGCTGCTTTGGTGCAAATCAAAGTGACAACAGGTGAAATGGTTACACCAGGAGAGCTGGACAGGGCCGTAAAAGGGCATCAACCCAGCAGCAGGACCGGTATCTGCTCCTTTGTGTGAGGAGGAACAGGAGGAGCACTGCCAGAGCCCTACAACATGACCTCCAGCAGGCTACTGGTGTGCATGTTTCTGACCACACTGTCAGAAACAGACTCCATGAGGGTGGCATGAGGGCCCCACGTCTTCTAGTTGGACCTGTGCTCACAGTCCAGCACTGTGCAGCTCCATCATTCACCAGAGAACACCAGAACTGGCAGGTCCACCATTGGTGCCCCGTTCTCTTCACAGATGAGAGCAGGTTCACACTGAGCACATGTGACCGGCGTGAAAGAGTCTGGAGACGCCGTGGTGAACGTTCTGCTGCCTGTGACGTCATCCAGCATGACCAGTGATGGTCTGGGGAGACAGATCCTCGGAGGGTCACACAGACCTTAACTCTCTGAAACCTGGAGCAACATCACTTTTCTTGTGCAGCTTTCAGATGCCTTTTGCAGCTATTAAAACCTTTGAGCCCTGAGCTATTTGTTGGGATTTCTTTCAAAAACATGGGGGACAAAGGCAATGAGCAACTTGGTAAAAAAATGTCCAACAAATTGCAAAAAAAATAATAGATTCAGCAAATTATTTAAAAAAAAAAATAGGGACAAAGAAAAAGCTTGGAAAAACTAAAGTATAATTTTTATTACAGTTCAAAATTATGTTACAGAAATGTTTTAAATAAATCTTAGGCTCTTTTTCTGGGTCATTTCCATGTTTGTTTGTTCTTAACCTTCTATCTTTCTTTTTTATTAATTTTCTTGTATTTTTTTTTCTTTTGACTAATTTCTCGCAATTTTTTTTGGTCATTTCTTCCTTTGTTGCTCATCGCCTTCATCCAATATTTTTGAAACAAATTAAGCCACTTTGGTCAGGCTTTAAAGGGTTAATGTCATAGCCAATGGTACCCTGACAGCTGTTAGGTACCGGAAGCAAATCCTCAGAATGGCTGGTGCCGTGAGCCCCGGGTTCCTCCTGGTGCAGAGGGCCCTGGGTTCCTCCCAGTGTAGCAGGCCCTGGGTTACTCCTGGTGCAGTACAATGCCTGGCCTCATGTGTCCAGAGTGTGTAGGCAGTTCCTGGATGATGAAGGCATTGATGCCACTGACTGGCCCTCTCGTTCCCCTGACCTAAATCCAGTTGAGCACTTATGGGACTGTCCAGGAGCTCACTGATGCCCTGATCCAGGTCTGTGAGAAGATCCCCCAGGACACCATCCACCGACTCATCAGGAGCATGCTCAGATGTTGTCACGAGTGCAGGCAAGCTGGATTAGCCTGTGATTTCAATTTTCAGTGTAATTTTGAATCCAGCACTCAGTGGGTTGATGATTGCAGTTTCCATTGACTGTGTAAGCCTCCCCTTGAATTTTTTTGAGCAGTGTATTATCGGAATTACTGCTTCCAACTAAGGTTTTCGTCTCCAAGAACTACTTCAAATACTACCAACTTCAGTAATGAGCACACCATCTGTATTTACCTCTACACTTCTTCTTTCTTTTAGTTGCTAACTTACGAAACAGAGTGGTGTCATCAGCAAATAAAATTACTAATAAAATCTAGGAAACAAACGAGGACCAAGGATAGACCCCTGTGGGACTCCACAAGAGAAGAGCACTTTTGATTGGATACATACTGTTTTCTCTGGAGCGAATCACGTTTAATTGCAGTAATTTCAGAGTAGAAATTCCCCACATTTACATACGTACAACTAAACGATGCTGCCTCAACTGGCTCATTTTTAGCCACAAAAAAATAAAAAAATTAAAAATCAGTATCAGTTTAAATGTCTAACAGGTCTGGAATATTTTCACCGCTGTACCTTGTCACCAGACGGCTGTTTCTGGCGTGAATTTGAAGCCGTTATCTCAAAGCCCCCAGAGTCCACTGACGAAAACATTTCAGAACACGCTGGCGCCTTGAGCGTCAGCTAGAGCAGGGGTTGGCAACCTGAGGCTCTGGAGCCACACATGGTGATTATTTAACACTGATCCAAAAAAATTCTAACTTTCTTCAGTTCCAAATAATGTGTAACCCATGCACAGCAGAATAAAGGCGTAAATCTGCAAGAATACAGTCGCAAAACTACGAGAATTAAGTTGTAAACCCACAAGAATAAAGTCGTAAATCTACGAGAATAAAGTCGTAAATCTACGAGAATGAAGTCATAAACTTATGAGAATAAAAGAGAAAAAAAAGTGTAAATAATATGTGTTAGCTGTTAAGTGACAAGTGGAGGAAAACTCCGCTAGCTGCTAGACTAAGAGTGCCGGATAAAGCCCTGCAAATATTCCAAATAAAATACACTTCTACTGATACTGATTGATAAAGGCAAGTCTTTGTAGGTGGCTAAAAATATTTTTTGGCTTTCGTGCCAGCAGATGTGGTTCATCAAAGATGCCACAGCAGAAACGTCCATAATGATATATCTTTAAATGATGACAGATAAAAGAAGACTTTATCGACTCTTCTTTAAATTAGTTACCAGCTGTCTACCAGGAAATGGATGCTGCTGACTACTGGGGTAACCACCAAAGTCCTGAATTTTGACGGCCATCAGGACTTCAGTTGGCGAGTACAGTTTCATGATTACCCGATACAAAAGTCGTCTTCTATAGCAGCTGTTCATGTAGGATTTTGTTTCCGTCTAATTTAGTTCAGCTCCTCTGATTGAAGCTGCGACGACTGACGACCGACACATTTATGTCTCTTGACTTGATGCCGCCAGGCGAACATTCGGTCGCAAACAGCGCAGCTGAATCTTTTCTCCCCCGTGTGGCACGCCATGTGGTTCGTCAGGTTCACTTTCTGTATAAAACTTTTCCCGCACAACGTACAACTAAACGGCTTCTCCCCCGTGTGCGTCGCCGTGTGGTTCTTCAGATCTGCCTTACTCAGGAACCTCTTTTCGCACACTGAGCAGCTGAACGGTTTCTCTCCTGTGTGAATCCTCATGTGCTTCGTGACCTTCCCCCGTTCGCTGAAAGCTTTGCCACACACGGAGCAGCTGAACGGTTTCTCTCCAGTGTGAATTTTCATGTGCGTGTACAAACTGCCGCTCTGCGTGAAGGTTTTCTTACAGATAGAGCAGCTGAACGGTCTTGCTCCTGTATGCGTGATCATGTGACGGCTCAGGTGCGTTTTTTGCAGGAAACTCTGACCGCAGATGGAGCAGTTGAACGGTTTCACTCCCGAGTGCATTCTCATGTGCGTGTGGAGATACCCACTCCACGCAAACGATTTCTGACACACGGAGCAGCTAAACGGTTTCTCTCCCGTGTGGGTTCTCATGTGGCGCTTCAGATACCCGCTTTTAAAGAAACCCTTACCGCAGACGGTGCAACAAACTTTTTTCTTTCCTCTGTGAGACCTCAAATGTCGGTGCAGGTATCCTAAAGTACCAAATGATTTCCCACACTGAGAGCAGCTGTAGGGTTTCTCATCAACACTAGATTTAGAGTTTAAACCTGACTGAGGTTCTCTGGTCTCCATCCAATCACCACTGTCGTCAGTCTCAGCTTCAGAAGAGTCACCGGTCTTGTCATTGGTATCTGGATCCGAGTTCCCAGCTGGTCCTTGTCCTCCACCATTCTCTCCATCAGCTTCTGTTTGACGAAGCTGCGACGACTGACCACCGACACACTGGTGGTTCCTGAGCTGATGAGGCCAGCTGAACACTTTGTCACAAACGTCGCAGCTGAACCGTTTGTCCCCTGAGTGGACCCTTGTGTGTCGGATGCAGCTTGTCTGTAAAGCAAATTTTTTTCCACAGACTGAGCAGCTGTATGGTTTCTCTCCCGTGTGACTCCTCATGTGGATCTTCATCTGCCTGCTGTCAGTAAATGCTTTCCCACACTCAGAACAGCTGAAGGGTTTCTCTCCGGTGTGCGTTCTCATGTGTCTCTTCAGATTTCGGCTCTCGATGATGCCCTTCCCGCACACGGTACAGGTGAATGGTTTCTCTCCTGCATGGATTCTCATGTGTCGGTTCAGGTACCCGCTGTTGCCAAAACTTTTCCCGCATTTGTAGCAGCTGAAGATTTTCTCTTCGTCCCCAACAGGAAGTTCATCATTTGTCAGAGAATTTGAACCTGATTGAGGTTCCCTGTTCTCCATCCAGTCGTCGCTGTCGTCAGTCTCAGCTTCAGAAGAGTCTCCGGACACCGGGTGTACTTCAATCTCAGCGACTAAAGAATCTTCTGGCTTCTTGTCCTCAGTATCTGTTTCTAAGTCTGGACCTGAGTTCCTGTCCTGTAATTGTCCTCCACAGTGGTGTCCCTCAGACTGAGGTTCCTCTTCATCGTCTTCACTCTTCACAGGGACAGGAGTGAATGGGAACTTGGTGATATCAGCCTCCTCCAGCCCTTGAAGCTGCTCTCCCTCCTGACTGCTCCACAGTTCCTCCTCTTCCTCTTTAATGTGTGGGGGCTCTGGGTCCTCCTGGTCCACACTGGAGCTCCACTCCTGCTGCTCAGGGGGAACCTCTTCTTTAACCACCAACAGCTGCTGGACGCCTGCACCCACGATCACTTCCTGGATGTCTGAGGGTAAAACTGAAACACAGACAGACATTAAAATGACTCATAATGATACTTTGCTAATTATGACATCATCTGCTTTACTGAGGGTCCCCAAAGGTCCCCTGCTCGACTACCTGACCCATAGTGTCTCATCAATATAGACCTTTTGTCAATAACTTATCAACATTTTTTTCAGAAATTTTATTACTAGTTTTCAAACATTTAATTAACTTTTTTAAAAACATTTTATTAAGATTTTTGGGACATTTTATCAACATTGATTCAGACATTTTATTACTAATTGTCAGACATTTTATTATTTTTCAGACATTTTAAAGCAACACTTACCATTCTGGAAATTTTACATTTTTCTTTGTTTAGGTTAAAATGCTATTAATAAATTGATGGCACACTATAGTGACTCCAAACAAAAGACAAAGTCACTGAGAGGCTAAGTGAGTGAGCATTGCACTGCTGACTCGCCACACAAACGACAAAGCCATTTCCAAGTTCTCCAACTGTGTCCATATTTATTTTCAACAGCGAACAAACAGGCAAGGCATGGCAAGATGTTCAAATACCCAGTTTTCAGTTAGGTTAAGCAGGGGTTTTTCGGACCTAATTGTATTGCGGAGTTTTGCACAGCAGCGACCGGATCTTTGCTCCCAAACCACAAAAACATGTGATGGCACAACAGTACATTATTCTATGCTTTCTTTTGATTTTCACATTGGCTAGTCATCCTGTTTAATTTGTCTTCTGATTAAATCGTAACCGTTGAAACAAGTTGTAGGTAGCCTCTGCAAGTAATTGGTTGCTGGCAGATACTCTGTGCTGCAATAAAATGGTTAATCAGCAGTGTTGTGCACTGTAGAGCCGATGTGCTGCTGGTTCTGCCGGCCTGAATAGAATATAATGTCTAATTATCTATAATGTTGTGTACAGCCTTATAGACTGAGCTGAGTAGTGATGCGCGGGTCGACCCGTAACCCGCGGGACCTGCAAATGGACCTGCGGGTCGGGCAGCAGTGATCGTCTGTTAAATCGGTCTGTAAATGATATTTTGACATTACTGGCTATTACTGTCATGGCATCCAAAGGTACTGATGCGTTGAGCAGGTGACAGTCTGCGGTCGTTTTCAAAACACACTTGTGTCACGTACTCCAAAAGAAACTTGTTGAAACTTTAAACAATAATTTATTGTACAAAACGGGGGAAACAAACGTTGACAAAAACGGTTCCATAATTCATATTAAATTCAAAAGATAACGAAAAAACAGCTACAAATTAGAGGGAATAGTGATAAAGTGGTAAAACTTTGCATTGATCCACAGCCTCAGACGGATGCGCTCATGCCTGCCGTGCGCACAAGCTCCGTTGGTAGGCGATACTATATTTTCGCATTTTTATCAATGCAATTTAAAAGTTTTGATTTTTATTGATAACCTACATTTACCAACAACAAAAACACTACATTTAGCACCAAAAAAATATGTAAAAAAAAAAAAAAAAAAGTCAATAAAAAAAAACAAATATCGAATACCAAATTTTCATAACAAATACCTACCCATAGAAATGAATATTCAAATATCCGAATATTTGGGTACAGCCCTAATGTCAACACAAACATCAATATCTTAGCATGTAGCACCTAGAACCCAGCCCCTAATTATTATCACTGTAATAATTACATTATAACAAATAAACAAGAAACACGAGATCACAAAATCCAAAACTGTCCTTGTTTATAGTCCATCAGTATAGTTCATCAGTGTGCTCCTCTCCCTGGAATGCAAGTCTAGTCGACTCCATAAGTTCAAACACACAGTTTCATGGAGTAATCTTGACCACGTCACACTGTCAGTCAGTAAAGTCAGTATAACTGTCCAAGCAAAACTGTCTGAAAACTCTCAGAAGTGAGGGGTTAGACTTGTGATTCCTGTAGAGGACAGACTTTGGTTATGGGCCTTTCCAAGGGGCTGGTCTTGGTTTTGATCAGTAACGGTCGCACGAATCCTCTTCTGTCTGGGAACGTTTGGATGACTTTTCCCATAACCCATGAGTTCCGCAGTGCTGTCTCATCCACAATAAGCACGATGTCACCTACCACAAAGTTGCGCTTAATGCTGGGCCACTTCTGACGTTCCTGCAATTGTGGTAAATATTCCTTGGTCCATCGCTTCCAGAATAAATTGGACATATACTGGACTTGCTTCCAGCGTCGATGAGCGTAGATGACATATGTTTGAAATTCCCCTGGTGGCAGGGAAGGGGAGGCTTTCAACAGCAAGAGATGATTAGGTGTTAAAGCTTCAAGATCATTAGGGTCGGTTGAGGCCTTGGTGATTAGACCACCATTAATGAAGGCTTCTACCTCACAGCTCCATGCGAGGTATTGAGACCGACTTCGAAGGAGACACCCTGGATTTTCCCATGACAAAACTGCTATGCACCTGTGAGTGTGCATTGCAGGAGTAGGTAAGTCACTGCACCATAACCATTTTCACTTGTGTCTGTAAAAGTGGTGCAATTGCACTGCAAAATCTGGGGGCTTTGGGCACTGAGCAACCTGGAAGTGCTCTTACTGATGGAGCTCCTTTAACCAGTTTGTCCATTCCTGTGCAGCTGATGGTGGAATGGGGTCATCCCAACCGAGTTGCTGCCTGCACAGCTCCTACAAGATGATCTTAGCAGAGAGGACAATGGGACTCAGGATTCCTAGGGGATCGTAAATCGAACCGATGACAGAGAGGACCCCCCTTCTTGTCAAAGGCCTGTCCTGCACCATGATCTTAAACTTGAAGGCATCAGACTGAATGCACCATTGCACCCCAAGCACTCTCTCCACAGGTAGCAGGTCGTGCTCCAGATCCAAATCCTTTATGACCTTTGCTCTTTGGTCTTCTGGAATTGCCACCATCACTGCACGGCTGTTGCTCATCCATTTTGTCAGCTTAAAGCCTCCTTTGGAACATATGGAGACCAGGTCATGATAAAGCACAACTGCTTCTTCCTCACTGGCTGTCGATACCAGACAATCGTCCACATAGAAGCAGTGCAGAAGCTTCTCAATGGTCTCTCGACAGAACTGTTCTTCATTGTCCTCAGCACGTTTCCTCAGTGCAAAGTTAACACAACAGAATAACCTCAGTAGGTCAGCATCTTCCCTTGGTACACTTACTTGGTGAAACAAGACTCTGTGTCTGCCATGATCACCACTAGTTCCTTTCTGAGTCTGGCCAGGACACCAATCAGTGAGCTAGTGAGATCTGGTCCTTGTAGCAGTTGAGCATTGAGAGATGTTGACTGGAAAGTGGCTGCACAGTCAAAAAACACAGATTTTTCCTTTCTGAGGGTGGTAAACACCATGGTGCGGGATATACCACAGTCTCCCATCACTACGTGCCAGCTGACCTGAAGGTACTTGCTCTGCTTATCCCTTGGCGACCATGTCATTCATAAAATCTGTGTACTGTTGTTGAAATGATGAGTTTCTTTTGAACCTCCTCTTTAGGTTTAGGGCACGCTGCTCTGCAACCTTCTTGTTGTTTGGCATGTTCACACAACTTTGTCTCAGAGGCAATGCAACCTGGTAATGGCCATCTACAAGCCTGGCTGAATCCTGGACGAGCTTCATGAACCTTTGGTCTTCTCTCCACTGACCAGGTTGTTCATCATAACTGCATTCTGGGAAATCTGTTATGAACTGCCGCTGCCAAAGCTCCTCCAAGTTCAGGACTGAGATTCTGTTAACGGTCACAACATCCATTCCATCACCACTGTCTCCTCCCAGTGGTCCATTAACAGTCCAGCCCAGAATAGTCTTAATGCCATAGGGTCCATCATCCACACTACGGATGACTTGTAGTCATTCCAGTGCCTTTGGTACATTTGGCTCAACTTCGGAGTCAGTCTCAGGTAAGTGAACATCTCCCAAGTGAGGCCACCTCTGAAGATCCCTTTGACATGGAATATTGCCCTTATGCACTGGCATGCACTCCTGGGTGTAGGTATTGGGCAAATCACAGTATGTCTCCCCGTCTAAGCCAGCCACCTCCAGTCCTGTGACCACACAGCTATTGACAACCTTCTCTTGACTCATTGTCCATAAAAGGATTCGTGTCCTTTTTCCTGAGAGGTTGAGCTTGTTCATGAGGTTATCTGTGCAGAAAACAGCCGTGCTACCCTGATCCAAGAAGCCATAAGTAACCACTGTGTGATTACTTTTCTTGGATTTAATCTGTACTGGAACTATATGAAGCTTGCAATCATGACCACCTGCCCCAGTAAGCCCACTGGTTACCAGAGCACAGCCCACTGCAGTGCCTGGTTCTCCTTCCGTCACTGGCTCCTTTTCCTTTGAGTGGATGTGAAGCATTGTGGGTGTTTCAAACTGCACACTTTGCATGAGAGACGCTTTCGACAATCCTTGCTAACGTGTCCTATACACAAACAGCCAAAGCACACTCCCTTTTCCCTTAAAAAGCTGATTGTTTCAGTGTGAGCCCTTTTCTTCAATCGAGGGCAAAACTCCAAAGCGTGTCCACCCTCACAAAACAGACAGATTTTCTTGACTTCCTTTGGTGTAGTGTTATTGTTCTCTGCAGTAGTCACAGTTGTAGCAAAACTACTTCCTTTTGGCCTAGATCTGGGTTTTAAGCTGGTTCGATTTATGCCTCTGCTTAATACTGGTGTTGCATCTTGAATGTCCCCGAACACTGGGTCTGTTAGAATCCTTGCTTGCCTTTCAATGAAATGAACAATATCACTGAATGTAGCCCTTTGGTTACGCCTCTCTTGTATTTCACAAGCAATAGTCCTCCATCGATCCCTTAGCTTGTAAGGCAGCTTTTTACAATTGTCAGCATATTAGCAGGCATATCCATTTCAAACATGTACTGCACTTTGTTCATTGCATTTGAACAGCCTCTGAGAAATAAGCTGTAGTCCTGGAGCGCCTTAACATCCTCTGATTTAACTGGGGCCCATGACAATGCCTTATCCATATAAGCAGCTACAATCCTTTGTTCAT